GAGGTATATTAAGATAATTTGAGGTGTACATTATAATCCCTAATCATTTTAGTTTTTTATTAAACATCTCATTTTGTAATGATAGTGGGAAGTTGAAGGTTTATAGTTCCTTCTAGGATTGTGTTTTTCTTGAATTCTGATTTTTATTAGGCTTCCATTCTGTTACAACTCCCCTTGATCAATTTTTTGTTGTTACTAAAAAGCATATTTAATAGTTTTCAAAATAAGTTGCTGCTTTTTTCTATTGGAAAATTTTTATCTATTGGAAAATTTGTTGAAAATTAGTATTCAGAGCTTTAAAAATGGTAATGGGATTTTAGATAGCAAGATTTGGGTAACTTTGGAACAGGAACAAATGGCAAGAGAACGTAAATAATTCGAAGAGTTTCAATAATCTATCTCTTAGAACTTGTTTGAAACATAGTGTTACTTGAATACATTTGTGCTGAACTTATTTAACCTTAGAAGGAAGTTACTGGATATTGTATTTAAGTTGATTTTTTTCATCAAACAGTGGAGTTACTGTAGTTTGATTTTTCTTAACTATGCTTTTAACATACAGATTTAACATCTAAAAGATTTTGTAAAGCATATCTAGCAAATATGCTTTTAGAAAAGATTATTTGATAAATGTTGCTTCTTACATGACTAATGTTTGAAATCAAGGAATACTTTAAAGACCCAGAGGTATTTTTGTAGAAGCTTGGATGAATATACTTTTATTTATATGTACTTAAAAATACCACAATTGTATCGCTCACATCTATAATTAATATTTCCTTATCCAGAGATATTTCACACTGGCACTCTGAACATTTGTGCAGGAAAAGAATCAGTGGGTGGTTAAGTCTTTTGAATTACAGACTATGGTTGATTTTAGAATGTAGGGTATGGAAAAATTCTTATAAGATAGGAAAAGTCTATATGTTTTAATCAACCAGTATTTATTTATTTATTTATTTATTTATTTATTTATTTATTTATTTATTTATTTTGAGACAGTCTTGCTCTGTCGTCCAAGTTGGAGTGCAGTGGTGCTATCTTGGCTCACTGCAACCTTTGCCTCCCAGGTTCAAGCGATTCTCCTGCCTCAGCCTCCAGAGTAGCTGGGACAACAGGTGTGCGCCACCATGCCTGGCTAATTTTTGTATTTTTAGTAGAGACAGGGTTTCACTATGTTGGCCAGGCAGGTCTCGAACTCCTGACTTCAAGAGACCTACCCGCCTCGGCCTCCCAAAATGCTGGGATTACAGGCGAGACCACCATGCCTGGCCAAATTATTAGTATATTTTCTGAATAGTATTTGTGCTAGGTAGCTTCAGAGCCGTATTTTTGTATCTGATAGGATACTTTTATACGAATTTTGGGATGATTTGTTTTCAGCAGAGCCAAACCAATGTTTTATCTTTGTACAGCATTTCTTCCTCAGAAGATGTTTTCCTGAAAGGGTAGTCATTCAGATTTTTAAAATATGTACTGTGTGTCATCACCTTGCTAAGAACATAGAGATGAATATGACATGGTTCTCTCCCTCTGGGAAATCAGTCATATGGGGGAGCTGACAAAGTGTTTAAAATAATTTTATTAGAAAAGTTAAAGTTATTTATTATGATAATTACATGCAAATAATTGTCTACTGTAAATCATCCTAGTTACTCTTCTTTGTCACCATGTTACGGAGACTACTTTTATTTTTTAAGTTACCAGTGACCTTATTTCCAAATTTTATCAGTATGTTTGTTTCTATTATGGTATCTTTCTCTGTAGCATTCAGCATAGTTGAATGAATCCTCCATCCCTGAGATGATCTTGATTTTCTTCCTGTCTCCACTGGCTGATCTTTCCCTACCTAACCTCTCAATGTTAGAGTGCTCAGGGCTTTGTCTCGACCCCCCTTCCTTTTTTTTTTTTTTTTTTTTTAAAAAAAAAGACTGGAGTTTCTCTCTTGTTGCCCAGGCTGGAGTGCAGTGGCACGATCTTTCTGCCTCCCAGGTTCAAGCGATTCTTGTGCCTCAGCCTCGCGAGTAGCTGGGACTACAGGCATGCACCACCAAGTCCAGCCCATTTTTGTATTTTTAGTAGAGAAGGGGTTTCACCATGTTGGCCAAGATGTTCTCGATCTCCTGACCTTATGATCCACCCGCCTCGGTCTCCCAAAGGGCTGGGATTACAGGCATAAGCCACTGTGCCCGGCCGACCCCCTTCTTATTATCTTCTTTCGTCTGTCTTTGGGAATCCAATCCTTTTTCAATAGTATCTGTATGGCGATGATTCCTAAATCTATATTTTCAGCACCAACCAACCATGAGATTTCTCACTCTGTTGCCCAGGCTGGAGTGTAGTGCCATGATCACAGCTCACTGAGGCCTTAACCTCCTGGGCTAAAGCAGTCCTCTCGCCTTGGCCTCCCAAAGTTTGGAATTACAAGCATGAACCACTCTGGATGGCCGAGAACTATCTTTAAAACAATAATCAGGTCACTTGCCTGTGAAAAATCCTCTAGTGGCTTCTTATCATGCCTAAAATAACATCCATATACTTCCTACTTTGGCTAAGTCCCAAATGATCTGGCCCCTACTTCCCTCCCTGACCTCATTTCCTGTCACTCATCCCCTTGTCCACTACTTCACTTTGTTATAGTTAACGGAACTTCTTTTTTTTTTTTTGGAGACAAAGTCTCGCTCTGTCGCCCAGGCTCGAGTGCAGTGGCACAATCTCGGCTCACTGCAACTTCCACCCCGCAGGTTCAGGCCATTCTCCTGCCTCAGCTTCCTGAATAGCTGGGACTACAGGCATACACTGCCATGCCCTGCTAATTTTTTGTAGTTTTTAGTAGAGGTGGAGTTTCACTGTGTTGCCCAGGCTGATCTCACAAACTCCTGAGCTCAGGCAATCCGCCTACCTTGGCTTTCTTTTTACTCTTGGAAATACCAAGTTCATCCCCACTTTAGGGCCCACCCCTTTGCCTGGAATGGTTTCCCGCTTTTCACAATTTTAAAATAGTACTGTGTGCCAAAGACTGTTCTCGTTGCTGAGGATAAAGCAGTGAATAAGAGACAAGGGCAGACCCTGAGGCATTTTTGTTTTACCTCTTATCTGATGGGTTCCTTGAAGGTGCAGTCTAAAAATCTGTATTCTTTGAAACTACTTCAGCTTGCTCTCAGTAGCTTCCTTTTTTAATGTACAATTTATGTAATTCATTCAATCTCTGCCTTGATGGAGCATACATTGCGGGCAGGATGGAGGTCACAGTAAACAAGATGGGTAAAATGTGTGTTGGATGGTGGCAAGAGCTAAGGAGAAGCATACAGCAAGCAGCAATGTGCTGAGGAGTGGGGTCGTAATTTTAAATAAGGTGATTAGGGCAGGCCTTTTTGAAGGTGACATTTGAGTAATAAAAATAATCTGTGGCTGGGGCTCGGTGACTTACGCCTGTCATCCCAGCACTTTGGGAGGCCAAGGCGGGTGGATCATGAGGTCAGGAGTTCAAGACCAGTCTGGCCAAGATGGTGAAACTCCATCTCTACTAAAAATACAAAAATACAAAAATTAGCCAGGTGTGGTGGCACATGCCTGTAATCCCAGCTAGTTGGGAGGCTGAGGCAGGGAATTGCTTGAACCTGGAAGGCAGAGGTTGCAGTGAGCTGAGATCACGCCACTGCCTGCCAGCCTGGGTGACAGTGAAATTCCGTCTCAAAAAAAACCAAAACTATTCCAAATAAAAAAAGCAACAAGTACAAAAGCCATGAAATGAAAGTATGCAGTGTATGTTTGGGGAGTAGTTAGGGATTCAGTGCTGGGGAAAGCGACGTGAGCATGGGGAGGAAGAGTAGCAGGAGATGAGACCAGAAGTAAGAGTAGAGCCAGATCTTGCTAGACTTTGTTGGCTAGCGGCTTTCAGCATTCGTGCACGTTGGAACTACATGAGGAGCTTTAAAAAATACTCATGGATGGGTCTCACTTGCAGAGATTAATTTAATTGATCTGGAGGTGCAGCTGGGACATTCGGATTTTATAAAAGCTCCCCCAAGTGATTCTAAGATGCTGTTAAGGTGGAAAAACACTGTAGACCATTATTGGGACTTCGGCTTTTACTTTTGGGGAGGTTTGGAAGTCATTGGATGGTTTTGTCATGGAATAATTTTGTAATTAACTTTAAAACTGGAGTTTTGTTTATGCTTTTAATTAACTATAAAACTGACTCCAATTGTTTGAAGTGGTTTGTGATATAACTCAGATTTGTCTCAGTATAAAAAGATACACTTTTCACAGTTTGGCCAAGGATTATCTATTTTATTTTCTATACTATTAGTTGCCTTTCAGTTTTCACAGTTCACATTTGTCTCCTCTTCCCATCTGTTTCTGCTTATCATCTTTAGTGTCCTTCCTTTTCCTGTATCTAACTGTCTACATTTCTTTAAATTCTGGACTTCAGTTTAATTAATAGAACTTGAAATACAGCATTGTATAAAAATATTTTAACCAAAACATTTGCATTTGTCTTATCTGAGCTGTCTTAATCCAGTGACTGACAAAGCAAAGTTGCGTGAAATTAACATTTTTTTCCTTCTTGTAATGTAAAACTTGGTTCCTGTATACCTTCCTGGAACTTTATACTTTTATATCTTTTCTACCATTTCTGTAAAACCTCAACTGCAGGGTGCAATAATGGACCTTATTTTCTATATTTCAGCAGGACAGCTGCTGAAAGTGGGTTTAAACTCACTGGCATTATATCCCACACAAAAAATACTACTTTTTGACATGTTTAGAAAAAAGTCTGCCTTTAATTTCTTTGTAATTTACCTCTAATTTGTTGAGTTACATGTAAGTAACTTTTTTTCCCCCCTGTCTTTTGCTGTGTTTCAATGGATTTGCCTCTCCTGTTTGGACCGAATATGTCATTACAATTCTTGGAATTCTTTGTTTACTGTGCCTCTGTGGATTTCTTCTGTTGGAATCTGGAACACTGGAATGATGGAAATGTGTTCTTTACAAAGTAGCTGTGAGTATACTACATAATTTATACAGAGATTTTTTTCAGTCTCAGTTAAATTTAACTTACAGTTGGATGAAATATGAGCCAAGGAAACCTTAGGTTTAATACATATTTCTAACTCCACTCATAGCAGACTTTCAAATATTTGACTTAAAGATATTAGATTCTGATTAGTCTCTTAATTATTATGTTTACAGTTAGCTCTTCATTTTAATGGGCTTAGTTTTTAAAATTTGGCTTAAGAATTAGTTTTATGAAATAAAAGCCAAAGATTATGGATGGAATGTTTATCTACATGACTAGTAAACATTGTAGACTTCTGTTCTTTGTTAAATCCAAATGTATTGCATTGATGTTTTGATCTCATGAGTGCTTTTTAAATGAGAATTAAACGTGGCAGAAACTTTTAAGAGAATGTGTGCCTCTTTTTGCTATTGTTTTTTATGTTGAGATAAGACTACCTCCAAAGTAAAATTAACCAATAAGACTCTGCTTATTCAGATAGTCTTAACTATGGACAATATTTCTCACATGTGGGTAAGTTAGAAGTCAGACTTATTTACTACACCAATTTGGAAGTAAATTTCTTTGAATTACTCATGAAACTATTGTTGAGGTCATCTAGGAATAAAAAACCAATAGAAAATGAAGTTATAATTTACTTTAAAACTTGGATAAACCTGAAGATAAAGGCAGCAGGATCATGTGAAACCTTGAAGTGACAAAATTGGACCTGGCATAACAGCGTGAATGATACTGTAGCTGGTTGGCACTGATCACAAGAGCCTTCAAGAATTTATTTTTAAAAATTGCTTTAAATTCAACACTTTGATTTCATTTCATGAATAAGAAGACAAATTTCAAGAATCTCATACCTGTGGTAATTAGTATGATCAAAGGAGATAATTAAAAAGGATTCTTAATATTGTATGAAGGGGATTTGAATTTTTTTGTTGTGAAAAATCCTGTGTTATTTTGCTTTTTTAGTTGGTTGGTCAATCATCTTGTTACTAACTGCTGTCAATTAAAATCTTTGCTCTGAGGCAGGTTTTCTAAATTTTTATTTCATTCCCTTGGATTTTTGTAATTAACCATTATATTGTCAGTCAACTCATGCTCAAATAATTTTGTCCATTTAAGAATTGATAGTTTTATTGATAATGCCATGGAATTAGTTTGATTTGCTGTGAATAATAGTATAGTTTTCTAAAATAGGTTCATGAAGGGAATTTGAAATGTGTGACAGAATAGTATTGTTGATACATGAATAACTTGGCCCTTTTTGCTTTTGTCAGCAACAGAAGAACCTTGAAGGCTATGTGGGATTTGCCAATCTCCCAAATCAAGTATACAGAAAATCAGTGAAGAGAGGTTTTGAATTCACGCTTATGGTAGTGGGTAAGATATGATTCCTTATTAAAATGGAACTTTGGTTTAAGTTTTAAACCGTTAGTCAACTCTGAATGAATTTAAGAAAATACTAGCACAGATATCTATAGTGATCATATCTTTGTTATATTTTCTCTTAGGTGCATACATTTTAAAATTTAACTCGGTGGCATAATGAGATTTATGTCGTCTTGCCTCTTTTTTAAAGGTAGAAACTAAAAGTTGAGAAATGGTGGGTGATAGTGTTGGAGTGGAACTCTAGAGAAGTTATTTTCAATTGGTAGTGCTACAAAAGAAAATAGCATCTGGTGGTTATTACTCCCGGATAGTTTTGTTTTCTGGTTTATGTGCTATAGTGGAGTATCATGTAAGCATTTAACTTAATGTGCTCTGAATTTTGAAAAGTAAGGTAGGATAGAGGATCATAATAATGTAGTTGATTACCCTTGGAATTCATTAATTGAATGTAAGCACTGGAATGAGTAAAATATGACTCTCCTCATCCTCTAATTCAGTTTCAGTTTTCTTTTGTGTTTCATTCCACGAACACCTTACCCTGCCTATATAGTCCATTTGAAAATACTGTTCAGGATAATTTTGACTGTAGGTTGGTAACATCATTATTATATATGAAGAAACATACTGTGCCTTTCCCATCTGTAAGATTAGTCATCTTCAATGACAATCTTATTCTTAAATGAGTACACAGTATTTTCACCTCATATAGGCTGACTTTAGAACCCAAGTTATGAATATTGTATAGTGTAACTTTGTTGTATTTCTCTTATTTGTTTTAAGAAGGTGAATTGCAGGTTAGTGGATTAGCTATCCTTAACAAAGAAAATTGAGTTGATGCTAGACTTTTTAGGTAGTATACACTTTTGTTAATTATATTTCAACTCTAATATTTTGATGCTGAATTAGGTTAATTGAACTAGCTGTGAAATACTCCTTTATTGGGAGGTAGAATATTTTATCTACTGACCGCAATATTTTACCTGTTGGTCAGTTTTTGGCTCTTTGGAAGTTGTATACATTGTAAGAGTTCACAGTTAAAACATGGTACAAAATTTGCAAATTTGATACTTTATAGCATTGGTTACCTTGTCTATGTATCTCTTGTTGAGTAGAAGTGTAGTATATCTAGCTTGCAAACTGCTGCTGTGGAATAGAGGTCCGTCTAGATAGAGGGATAAAATAATGCAGCGCATACCTTTTCTTCAGCAGGTTGGTAACATCATCATTATATGAGAAACACTGTCTCTTACCTCTACATGTGTAATATTAATAATCTTAAGTGACAAACTGTAGACAAATATAATTTTTTCACTTATGAGAAAACCTCCTAGGTCCATTAGGAGAACTGTAACAATTTAAAAAATTTTCCTTTGACATTAGAATTTTAGTTTAAAGAATAACTTTTCTAATCATATTTAGTAGGATAATGTCTGGTGATCAAGGCCAGAGAGTTGATTTAAAATCTCTGTGGCATTTTTCCAAATGAAAAAAATCAAATAGTCATCTGATGTTGATTTTTAGAGGAGATATTCAGTCTCTATAATTAATCCCTTTGTGAAATGCAGCTTTTCTTTTTTCTCTTCCTAATGATAAGACGTCAACTGAGGCCAAAAAAAAATAGGTGTTAATATCCTTATTTTCAAGTGTTAATATCTTTACTCTGTTTTCCCACTGAGCCTTGAACATTGTTTAATTAACTACATTTGAATAGATATGTTGAGTGCAGGTATTAAATATTTTCATCTATATAGGTGTAGTGCCTAATACGTAGTCACTTACTAAGTATCTAATCACTTAGTATCTAATATGTTGATTTATTTTTCAGATTTTAGGCTGACTCTAACAGCATCATTTGCAAATCATAGAAAGCTAAAACCAACCTTGCTTTAATATTCTTGACTTAAAAACTTTCAGCTATTCCTTATGAGCTAAATCCTCATTTTTGGGATCTAAACTCAGAATAAATTTGGCTCCCACATTACAACTGTTCGTTTACAACTTACACATTGATATCAACTGAGAATCTGTAACAGATTTTTTTATTGAACTCTTTGTACTTTATCGGAAAACCTTTAATAATCTTGCTTCATAAGCAATGTTTATTGAGTTCTTGCTTGAGTGACTTATTTGTATCAAAGAAGCATGCTGTGTATTCCCATATTTTCTCTCTTAAAGGAGCTTCTGATTTATATGACAAGATAAACCACATAAAAATGGGGTCAGTAGAATCATACAAAAGTTTAAGGGTATAGAGCCATAGAAATTTAAGGGTATAGGAGAGTTTGCCTTGGTTGGAGATTATTATTGCCTTCTTTTGAAAAGGGAGGCATTAGGACAAATTTTTGAAGGATAGAATTGGGGCCAAGATTGAGGAAGCATTCCTGTTGGGGGAAATAATAGCCATCATTTACATAACTTTTTTACGTGTGAGGCAATGTTTTAAGTACTTTATGGACATTATCTACTAACTCACAATTCTTACAACAGCCCTATGAAGTAGATATTGTTATCCCATTTTGGAGATGAAGAAACTGAGGCATAGAGAGATTAGGTTACTTGCCCATGGTTACATTGCTAGCAGATGGCAGAACCAAACCCATTCTACTGCTCAGTTAGTCTGGTGTGTTCTTAACCACCATGCAGAGGCTTATCTGGGGATACTGGGTATAGTGCAGTGTTTATAAGACTACATCCAATATGCCTTGAACTGAGATGAATTCAGTGAAAGAGAGGATGAATGAGAATGAGAACTAGAGAACTTAAATAGTACAAGTAATTTTTCCTGTTATTCCACTAGAATAAGCGTCTGGCCTTGAGTGGGTGTGAAATGGGGGAGGTGCATTTGCTATTTTCCTAGTCATTATCAGCTTCCACATAGTTTGATAGTGTGAACTTCTCAGTTTGCTGAATGTTATAGTCTAGTGACAACAGGGCACCTAAATACAAATCGATCACTTTTTATGTGCTCAAAGAAAGTTACCTATTTTAGTGGAGGAGGAAGATAGGTTGTTAGCTTATATGTAATTGTGCTTTATGGATGATATAAGGAATTTTTCAAGATTTTTTTCACAGCACACTGACTTTAGGATCTGACCCCTAAGATGTAACTTTATAATTAGAAATAAAGCTGGAAAGGTAGACTAGCCAGGATTTTGGAAACCCTGATTGGCAATTTGATGGGGAGATTAGAATTCTTGATTTTGAATCTTGAAAAATTTAGGCATATCAAATAATGAAGACATGTAGATCTCTATTCATTGAAGTTGTCTAACCTGTTTGGCTTAGAACTTGACTGTCATTAGTGTGCTCCCTAATTAGACTTAACTGTGATAGAGAATAAATTTTTAATTGTAATATCCTGTTTTTGCTAGAATTCTTCAAGGAGGCAGAACTCAGAAGACTGTAGTTTGCTTTATTTAACTTGAAATAGTTGTTAAAACAGGTGGTATTAAACCTATTATTCTGAATCCTAGGAAGATAGAATCCAAAATTCAGTCATTTCTGTAATCTTGAACTTTGCAAAATTTTTGTGATTACAGAATTTTAAAAATTTAATGATATGTCAATAATGTGTTTGACCTATGCCATATGTCTTTTAGTGGCAGATTGGCATTTCCATTTTTTTTTTTTTTAACAGCGGGAGAGAGCTTAGAACATGTTGGCTTAGCCATTTTTTGGGATTCAGAGTTTATCATAATTTTTTTTTTTTTTGTATATGCCTTATCAGAGAAAGTTTGCGAGTTATTTAGTTAGCGATAGTATATACGATGACTATCCTAGTTGTCATTTTCCTCCACTACCTGTTGATGTTTGAGTTGATAGAATAACATTTATATCAGTTTATCAGTTATTTGAAAAAATGGAAAGATAATATTGACTCAAAATTTTGTATCTAGGCTGTTGAGTATTTTGTGGTATTTTTAAGATATATTAGCTCCTTGAAATGCTTTGAGTTATGATTTTAAGGTTTTTCCTTGAGCTCCGTATTTTTATTTTGCTTTTATTAATAGAAGTAACTTAACCGATAATGACTTCACAACATTGGCAATATCCTAAAATCCATTGATTTATACACTTTAAAATGGTGAATTTTATCTTAGAAAAAGTAATTCAAAGAGAAAGTTTAGAAGAAAAAAAATCACGTAATTCCACATGTCCACTATTTTAATTTTGTACATTCCTTCTAGCTGTTAAATCTGATTATTTTTAAAGCACTTAAAAAATGAAGTTAATATATTTCATTGCAGAAATTGGAAAATGCAGAAGAGCAAAACGAAAATAAATATTGTCATCTGTCATCTATTGATCATAACTCTTAAGTATAGGAACATTTAGTATTCTTATGTGTATCTGTAATGTTCTATGATTGCCTTTTAAATGTGCAGTTAAATTGTGATTATCTTGTGATATCTTAACGTTCTTTCATAACCTATCTATTGGTCAAATTGTAGACTTTAATGGCCTGTACAGGTTGGCTATATCATTCTTGGTTGTATTGTCAGGATAGTTAAAATTGTTAGCTAGTATTAATACTATAATAACATGGTTATAGTTATACTTTTGCTTGAATTTTTAGTTATTTTCTAGAATAATAAAGCTTTGGAAGTTTGAATTGCTGTGTTAAGATTGATACATTGTTTTAAGGGTTTTGATACATAATACCAAATTGCTCTAAAACAGGTTGTGTACCATTTTGCACGCTCATCAAGTGTTGACAGCACCGTTTTCCCTGAATACTGCCAACACTGGATATTAATCTGATTCCTGAAACGTGGTATCTTATTTTTATCTGTATTTTATTTTTACTAGTTACTTGATTTATTTATTTTTCGAGACAGAGTCTTGCTTTGTTGTCCAGGCTGGAGTGCGGTGGTGCAATCTCAGCTCACTGCAACCTCCACCTCCCAGGTTCAGGCAGTTTTCCTGCTTCAGCCTCCCTGGGACTACAGGTGTGCACCACCACCCTCAGCTAATTTTATATTTTTAGTAGA